CAAGACTTCCTACTGGGCATCTGCTTATAAAAGAAAATGTGAACACACAGAATGGGGAAAAATGCCACTGGTACAGATGTAAAAGGAGATAAATTTGACAACGAAGTCATTTTGCAGAAACATTTTTAGGTAATGTGGAAACTAAAAACAATCACAAGAATATTACCATAATGCACTCTCCTTTCTTATTTCTGTTATCATTAAAAAAGTGGTCCCAAGAGTTGGACACCATAAAAATAAAAAAGAATCATCAGAAATTACTAAAAAGAGCTGCATTGCCAACAAACCAGGAAACCTAGAAGAAATGAATAGATTCCCAGACACATACAACCTACCTAAATTGAGCCATGAAGACATAGAAAACCTAAACAGAAAACCAAGACAGAAACTGAATCAGTAATAAAGACCCTCCCAACAAAGAAAAGCCCAGGACCAGATGGTTCCACTGTTGAATTCTACCAGACATTTAAAGAACTCCAATTCTTCTCAAACTCTTCAAAACAACTGAAAGGGAGGAAATCCTCCCAAATTCTTTCTATGAAACCAACATCACCTTACACATTCCTAAACCTGAAAAAGATGCAACAGAAAAAGAAAACTACAGACTACTTTCCCTGATGAACATGGACTCTTTCTTTCAAGGCCTCAAAGTGCAGAGGAACAACAGCAGGAGATGTTAAGTCTACAAATGGGCAGTCCTTTTCCCCACCAGGATTCTGAAAGTGACTGGATAATTCATTCTTTCAGGATAAGGAGTGTCAAGATTCATCATATTATTGACTATTCACATGACTGGATAAGAGACAGGGCTCTCCTTGCTAGCACAGAAATAAATACCAGTATGAATCTGCAGAACCCAGAGAGCCCTCTTTGTACTTCGATATGTAATGACTTAGAACAGCCCTTGTTTCAACTATTGAGGAACAGGTGTTTTTTTTGTTTTGTTTTGTTCTTTGGTTTTTTTGGTTTGTTTGCTTGTTTGTTTGTTTGTTTTTTGTAAACTGTTGAACTCTTTACTTAGTACAGAGTTGGTCTTCTGTATATAAAGTTAATTGAAAATAGACCTTAGTGGAGAAGGGGTCTGGGGATGGGAGAAGGAGGAAGAGGAGGAGTGATGAAAGCATGGGAGGGAGGGTGAATATGGTGGGAAGAATCACTATATTCCTAAAGTTGTACTTATGAAATGCATGAGGTTTGTATTCCTTAAATAAAAGGTTTCTTTGGGAAAAATAAAAAATACTAGCTAATCGAATCCAACAACACATCAGAAAGATCATTCACCAGGACCAAGTGGCATTTATCCCTGGTATGCAGAGATGGTTCAACATTCATAAATCAATCAATGTGATACATCACATTAACAAATTTAAGAACAAAAGCCATATGATTATCTGAATAGATGCAGAGAATGCGTTTTATAAAATACATTTTATTTCATGAAAACTCTAAGAAAACTGGGTATAGAAGCAACATTCCTCAACACAATCAAGGCAATTTATGACAAACCCATAGTCAATGTCCTATTAAATGGGGGAAAGTTGGAAGCATTCCCACTGAGATCCGGAACCAGACAAGGATGTCCACTTTCACCATTGCTATTCATTTATATTTATGGAAGTTTTATACAGAGCCATTAGGCAAGAAAAAGAAATCAAAAGGATACAAATTGGGAAGGAGGAAGTCATACTATCCCTCTTCGCAGATGATACGATTCAATTTAGGGGATCCAAAGAACTCCACTAAGAGACTATTGGAACTCATAGAAGAGTTTGGCAAAGCAGCAGGATATAAAATCAACACACAAAAATCAACAGCCTTTGTATATACAGACAATGCCACAGCTGAGAACAAACTTCTGAGATCAATCCCATTCATAATAGCTACAAAAAAAATTACCTTGAAATAAATTTAACTAAAGATGTCAAAGGTCTCTACATAACAATTATAAAACATTAAAGAAAAAAATAGAAGAAGATACAAAAAATGGAAAAATATTCCATGTTCATGGATTCGAAGAATCAATATCATCAAAATGTCCATACTTCCAAAAAGAATTTACAGATTCAATGTGACATCAATCAAAATACCAAGGACATTCTCAGATATAGAAAAATGATGCTGAAATTCACATGGAAACACAGGTGACTCTGAATAGCTAACACCATCTTAACAAAAACAAAGTGGAGGCATCACAATACCAGATTTTAAGGCATACTACAGGGCAGCTATAATCAAAACAGCCTGGTACTGGTACAAAAACAGATGTGTAGACCAATGGAACATTATAAAAATGCCAGCAATCAACCTAATCATCTACAACCAACTTATATTTGATCAAGGAGCTAAAACCAGTCTCTTCAAGAAATGGTGCTGGGAAAACTGGATTTCCACATACAGAACTATGAAGCAAAACCCCTACCTTACAACTTACACAAAAATCCACTCAAAATGCATTAAAGAACTAAATATATGACCAGGTACCATCAAATTATTAGAGAACGTTGGGAAAGCCTTGCAAGTTAACATAGGCAATAATTTCTTTGAAAAGACCCCAAAGGCACAAACAATAAAAGCTAAAATTAACAAATGGGATTACATCAAATTAAGAAGCTTCTGTACTGCAAAAGAAACATTCAGGAAAATGAAGATACAACCGACAAAATGGGAGAAATTATTTGCAAACTACACAACTGATAAAGGATTAATAATCAGAATATATAAAAAGATCAAGATACTCAACAACAACAAAACAAACAACCCAGTTAAGAAATGGGCAAAGGACTTAAACAGGCATTTTTCAAAAGAGAAAATCCAGGCTGGCGCCGCGGCTCATTGGGCTAACCCTCCGCCTGCGGCGCCGACACCCCGGGTTCTAGTCCCGGTTGGGGCGCCAGATTCTGTCCCAGTTGCTCCTCTTCTGGTCCAGCTCTCTGCTGTGGCCCTGGGAGGGCAGTGGAGGATGGCCCAAGTGCTTGGGCCCTGCACCCACACGGGAGACCAGGAGGAGGAACCTGGCTCCTGGCTTTGGATCAGCGCAGCACACCGGCCCTGGCGGCCACTTGAGGGGGATGAACCAACAGAAGGAAGACCTTTCTCTCTGTCTGTCTCTCTCTCACTGTCTAACTCTGCCTGTACAAAAAAAAAAAAAAAAAAAAAGAAAGAAGAAATCCAAATGGCCAACAGACACATGAAAAAATGCTCAGAATCACTACCCATTAGGAAAATGCACATCAAAACCACAATGAGAGTTCACCTCACCATGGGAAGAATGACTTTCACTCAGAAGTCAACAAACAACAAATACTGGCAAGGATGTAGGAAAAAGGTATCCTAATCCACTGTTGGTGGGAATGTAAACTGGTAAAGCCACTATGGAAGACAGTACAGAGATACCTCTGAAAAATGAATATAGACCTACCATATGACCCAGCCATCCCACTCCTGGGAATTTACCCAAGGAAAATGAAATCAGCATATGAAAGAGTTATTTACACCCCCATGTTTATTGCAGCTCAATTCACAATAGCTAAGACATGGAATCAACCCAAACTGAAGACTAGATAAAGAAATTATGGGATAAATACACCACAGAATACAACACAGTGGCAAAAAAAAAAAATTTTTTTTGATCATTTTACAACAAAAAGGATGATACTGGAAAACATCATACCTAGTGAAATAAGCTAGTCACAAAAGACAAATACCATATGTTCTCCCTGACCCGTGTAACTATCAGAGCACCTAAAATGCAATCTATAGAAGTGAAAGTGACACTTTGAGAAGCAATAACTTAGACAGCCCTTGTCTTGACTATTGATGAATAGTTGCTTTTTTTTAATACTGTTTGTTAAACTCTTTACTTAACATAGAGTTAAACATATGTGTATAAAGTCAATTGAAAATAGATCTCAGTAAAAAAATAAGAATGGGAACAAGACAGGGAGGAGGAAAAGGGGTGGGAGGTCAGGTACAGTGGAAAGAATCACCATGTTCCTAAAGTTGTAATTATGAAATGTATGAAATTTTTAACTGTAAAGCTGTATAGTTTTGCATACATTCCTATGGACTTCTTTCTAAGGGTACAGTTTAAAAACTTGCCATGGGACCCCAAATCCCCTTAAGCTGGGTGGTAAAAATACCATCTTAAGTGTTAAGTGATCATATGGATAGGATTAAGTGTCTGGTGATAATAGATAGAATTAAAAAGGAATAAATGCTCCAACATGGGAAGCAGTCCACACAGCAGACTCAGAATGACAATGGCTTTAAGTAGAACTATGACCTCAGAATCAGCCCTTAAGGCATTCTGGTCAAGAGAGCATTTCAGGCACAGAATACCAAGACACTGTGGCAAAAAAAAGTCCTACAAAAAGGACCTCAGTGGATGAGACCCCAATGGAAAGAAGTGGTCATCAAAGAAGGCGGTACTTTTTTCTGAAAGGAGGAGAGAACTTCCACTCTGCTTATGGCCTTATCTAAATACTGATGGAGTTTGTGTATTCAAATTGCTTCCATAGCCTAGGCAGCTCATGTCAAGAGCCTCAGGTGGTCACTGATCATACATAAGAGTGTTACTTGTTAATTGTCAACAGGAATCACTGTGCACTAACTTCCCATGCAGGATCTCTATCCTCAAAGAGTTGTATTATAATTATGTCTAAGTGCTTACAAAAGATGTGTCATTCTTGGGTGCTTCTTTAAAGTTAATTAAGTTCCAAAAAAAAAAAAAAAGTGAAATTAACTTCAAGATGCAATGACTTTGAACAGCCCTTGTCTCAACTATTAAGGAAGAAAGAGTTCAGTCTGAGTTTACAGTTGCCTTCTGACACTTAAAATATTTGCATGCATAGAAAATGGAAAAAGATAGTGGAGGTGCAGTGTGGATAAGGCATTGTGCAGTGTAACAAGGTATTTTAGAACCACACTTGCAAATACTCATCATCAGTAATGCAGACCATTAAGATAAATATCAGAAACAATCATCAGTAAGAAGAGCTTACCTTTGAAGAATCAACTCTGCTTGTTGCTCAGAAATGGTCAGGCCTAGTGTCTGGAGAGACTGGACAATTTCTGAAGCTTCAATTTTTCCTTTAAAAAAATGAAAATGGCAAAAATCAGGAGTCAGAATTGACAAGGATCTTACAAATCATAAAGTTTGAATCTCTCATTTAATAGAAACTTTGAAATGATTAAGGCAAAAATATGCATTTTTATGAGTTATGGATGTGCTTAAATACACATGATGACATCAATATTTAAACAAATGCACAAAGCAAGTATTCACACATTATTTCATTCAGTAGTCATAACAGTGTTGTAGAGAATGATGCTCCTCTGAGGACAATGACACCGGTAGCTCAAGTGGCCTTACCAAGTAATGAAATGAAGAAATTGCAGGGGTTTGTGAGTTTAGCCTAGCTGTTAAAGACACCTGTGTCCCACATCAGAGAACCTGGGTTTGAGAACTGGCTCTGGCTCAATTCCAACTTCCTGCTAATGCAGACCCCGGGAGTCAGCAAGGATGGCTCCCCAAGCTCCTGCCACCTACATAGGAGATCTGGATTGTGCTCCCAGTCCCCATTGTGCTCATCTGCAATCAATTCTCATTATCCACTGTATTCCTCTTCTGTATCACTTGAGCACTGAATCAGCAAATACCGAACCATTGTTCCTATGGGAACCATTGTTCCATAGGTTCCCCATGAGCCTCTGACCGTGATGTTTTCATCCATCATCAGTGCAAAACTTTGTCTCTGAGTGTTTCTACTTTAAAATACTTCACTGAATGTACAGTCTTCATTCACAGACATTGAACTCATGGTGAAATTCAATTCCAGCTTAAGGCATAACATGGCCTTCTTGAGCTTAGGAACACGAAACAATGCTTCAGCCAACACTTGGAAACATTTTAAAATGTGAAATTACAAAATATACAAAAATGCAAAAAACACGATACAAAAGAGACCACAAAAAGGGCAAGAGCTGGAGCAAGAAGGCAGAGCGTCCTTGCCATGGTCTCCCTCCACTAGGAACGTAGGTGTTGAGCAACTGCAACTTTCCACCACTCTGTGCTCATCCAACATGACCAGGAAAGCACTGTGAGTAAACATTTTGGGGTAAAATCGTACCAAGTTGCAGAACCCAACAATAATGAGCATCCACAATATATGCTTTGCTTTTAGGAAGTTTGATAAATAAAAATAGGGACCTACAGGGAGAAATCAAAATACACAAACAAGAAAAATTAAAGAGGATGCTGTTTATATTTACTCCAAATGTATCAGCATTTCATTTTTAATTGTTTTCACTGATTTGTTTAGAATTTCTGAGAGAGACAACTGATGAGTATATAACTCATGCACCAGGATGACGTGTGTCTAATTATTAGCGGTTGGTCCTGGGATAGCCCCGTATCCGGCTACTGCCAGCTCTGATGGTACACAGTTTTCTCTCAGCAGCTGCACTGGAAAGGGTCCAGGTTGGGAGAGAAGTTTGCAGGGAAGAAGGAAAGGTGATTGGAAGAACTGAATGTTTCCTCACTTGGGGCATATGGTCAAAGGATTATTAGAGGCAACAAATGTCTAACAAATGTCAGTGCTTCTTGGTTGACAGATTTAGATGATCATCAAAACCATTCAAAGGGTTTAGCTTGTTTGTTTGAAGGAAGTTGCTTTGAATTTAACTGAAGTCAATGTTCAATATAAACCAGCAGCTGGCAAACTTTAAGGCCCATTGACCATTTCACAATACAGACCCATATTTTCCCTCATTCTATTTAATTTAAATAACAAGTTGACCAATAGAATGACTCTAAACATTCATAAGTATTAGAGGAATTTGGGGCTGCATTGAAGTGTTTGTAAAACCCCCTCTTCCTATCAAGGCTGCCTCTGATGACAAGGACTCTGTGACTCTGCCCTTTCACCTACTGCCCTTGTTCTTGCTGGGACTCTAAGCTATCAATGTACATAGAGAAGCCATAATCTCAACCAAAGGTACATCCTTAAATGTTTATATGCTAACTTTCCCCAAATTTGCAGGATCAGATGGTGTCTAAATTATTTCAAGAAGACTAACAAATATAAGATAACTGGACAGTCTTTTAAATTTTAGAATATACAATATTCATTCCTATATACAAACAAAAATAAATCTCTATCCAGAGGGTAAGAAAAAATATGTATTTTTAAAGATTTATTTATTTGAAAGGCAGGGTGACAGAGAAGAGGGAGAGAGACAGAAACCAAGAGAAAGAGATCTTCTATCTACTGGTTCACTCCCTATATGGCCACAATGGCCAGGTTTGAACCAGACCAAAGACAGGAGTCAGGATTCTGGTCTCCCACATAGGTGGTAGGGGCCCAGGTACTTGGGCCATCTACTGCTGCCTTCCTAGGCACATTAGAAGGGAGTTGAATGGAAGCAGAGCAGCTGGGACTCAAACCAGCACTCTAATATAGGATGCCGGTGCTGCAAGCAATGGCTTAATCCACTGTATCACAATACCAGCCCCTATGTTTATGATTTTTAGCCCATAGCTTTAAATCAAATCAGTATAACGTTCCATAATTACATTTTTTGACAGGCCACATCCACTTTTTAAAATTCAATGGACAAAGCTTTGTATGAGCTTTCTTCACTGAAAATGAATTCTACATGAAAATTATGTTATTAAGAAAAGTAAGTATTAACACAAGTAATAATTATCATCTGAAAAAGAGAGACTAAATATGCATTGTTTTAGACTCCTGGAAGCAAAATATGTCTTCATCGCTGGAGATAAATAGACAAGAAAAACGCACCATCATTGTTTTTGTCCAAACTCTTAAATGCCAATTTCATCTTTTTCTCATGGTCTTTAAGGTACTTCATAAATTCTTCAAAATCCAGCTTCCCATCTTTGTTGACATCTCCAGTAGTAAAAATTTTCTACAAAAAAAAAGACACTTTAGTGATATTATGGGCTAAAGTGCTAAATTACTTGTATATAAATTTTGAATAAATTGACTATTTCCCTAGAAAACTAAAGTGTGGGGAGCAACCCGGACTGGACTGAGTTACTGGAATTAAGACTTATTCTATGCATCTGCTCTCCCACAATATGGCGCTGGGAGAGGAGAAAACAGCTTCTACACAGCTGCCTCCAGTTCAACCAATAAACTGTAGGACCTACTCCTGATTGGAGGAGAGCAGCATACTCGGCGTGTGGGCAGCCGAGTTGGGATTGGCAGAGGAGGACTATAAAGGAGGAGACGGCATGCACAAGGAACATCTAAGGGGAACATCTACCTGAAGGAACACCTGTGCAGCCCCCGAAAGAGCCGGCCGGCAGTGTGCCGCTCCCCCGCGGAAGTGGGGAATGTGGCAGGGGGAACCGCCCTTCCACGGAGGTGGAAGGGACGGTAGCCAACCCGGGAAGAACCAGCAGCAAACCCGGGGAGGGCCGAGCAGACAAAAGAACAGCGCAGGGTCCTGTGTCGTTCCTCCACGAAGACGGGGAGCGACATAATGGTGCCGTGACTCGGATATGAAGCCTAGGCAGGGTTTAGTGTCGTTCCTCCACGAAGAGGGGGAGCGACATAATGGGGCCGTGACTCGGATAGGAAACTTAGGAGGGAAGAAACGGGAAGAAGTGGAAAATACCGGAGAGAGAGACTAGCAAAGAGCCTAGGGGAAAGCTGGACGGAAAAGGTGCCGGAAGAAGCTATTGAAAGCCTAGGCATAGACTCGGATATGGACTGTGGGAAAGAAGTTAGGATTGAAAGCGAAAGTGAAAGCTTTCATAGACTCGGATGCGGACTATGGCAGGGAAGCTAGGAGATTGAAAGCGAAAGTGAAACCTGGAGGAGGCTTGGACTCGGATACGGACTGTGGGGAGAAGCCAGGAGAAATGAGAGGAATATTGTTGGAAGAAAACTTAGGGAAACATACCGGGTAGAGAAAAATGTTAGGGAGGATGAAGCCGCGAGTGCAGGCCGAGGCGAAGACTTAAGCCAGCTTGGAATTCTTCAAGTCAGCCCGGGGAGCAAAAGGCGAAAATCTGGAACCAGAGGCAGAGACGTGGGCCGCCAGGTTGGAATTCGCCAGGTTAGTCCGGGGAACTTGGACTGAATGCCGGTGGTGGCAGAAACATTCGCGGAAGCCGCCACGTGCAGAGAGAGCACGGGGCGTGAATAGATAGGGAACGCGGGGCTGGCGCGAGGCCGTGGTGCGGGCGCGAAGTGCGTGGAGACCGCGGAGCGTGCGTGCAGAGCCGGGAACCCGCCGGCGGGGCGAGGCGCCGGGAAGCCACGCAGAGCCGTGAAGCTGCCGCGGGGCGAGCCACCGAGAAGCAGCCTCGGGGCAGGTGCCGGGAAGCCGCAGGGATAAGAGAAACAGAAGTTTAGAAGTAAAATGAGAGAAATAAGAATGCTGGTAGATAGAAGTAAAATAGGAGAAATAGGAATGCCCGGAGATAGAGAAACAGAAAAATAAGGCCTCCCCTCAACATGGCAATGAGAGAGCTTGGATTCGGTCTGCCTGATTAGGACGATAAGCACCTGCGGGCGGCTAGCAGCTTATGCGCCGCAGGTCACCGAAGACAGGCATGAATTAACACCAGTAAGTCTCCCCACAATACGGCAATGAGAAGGCTTGGATTCGGTTTGCCTAATAGGGCTTGTAAGCACCTGCAGAGCAGAGCATGCGCTGCAGGGCACCGAACACAGGCACGCATCAGCGCCTAAAAACCTCCTCACAACATGGCGAAGAGAGGACCCGGATTCGGTTTGCCTGATTGATAGGACTTGTAAGCACCTGTGGGCAACTCTAGCAAGTAGAGCAGAGTGTGTGCCGCGGGACACCGAAGACAGGCGCGTATCAACGCCAAAAAATAAAAAGAAAGGGGGATCTGTTGGGAGCAACCCGGACTGGACTGAGTTACTGGAATTAAGACTTATTCTATGCATCTGCTCTCCCACAATATGGCGCTGGGAGAGGAGAAAACAGCTTCTACACAGCTGCCTCCAGTTCAACCAATAAACTGTAGGACCTACTCCTGATTGGAGGAGAGCAGCGTACTCGGCGTGTGGGCAGCCGAGTTGGGATTGGCAGAGGAGGACTATAAAGGAGGAGAGAGACGGCATGCACAAGGAACATCTAAGGGAAACATCTATCTGAAGGAACACCTGTGCAGCCCCCGAAAGAGCCGGCCGGCAGTGTGCCGCTCCCCCGCGGAAGTGGGGAATGTGGCAGGGGGAACCGCCCTTCCACGGAGGTGGAAGGGACGGTAGCCAACCCGGGAAGAACCAGCAGCAAACCCAGGGAGGGCCGAGCAGACGAAAGAACAACGCAGGGTCCTGTGTCGTTCCTCCACGAAGACGGGGAGTGACATAATGGTGCCGTGACTCGGATATGAAGCCTAGGCAGGGTTTAGTGTCATTCCTCCACGAAGAGGGGGAGCGACACTAAAGTACCAATTTTAGCCAGGTATATCATTATCCATTATAGTTAAGACCTGCCATGAAAAGAACCATAGCCCTGCAAAAAGATGCCAGATCTTGTGATAAGCTTTCAATTAAAACAATTACACACCCATTTCCATGAAACATGGCATTTTAAGGCTAATGTAATCACACTCTAAATTTCTTGACATGTACTTTATAAACTCCAAAAGCCAAACATGACCTAGCATAGGGTTTAAATGTCTAAAATAGTATTTTTCCTTTGATTTCTAAAGTTAAAAATCTATTCCTAAAAATGATCCTTACTAAAAGCTATCATAGTAAACTGTCCATTTCTATTAATAGAAATTGTTGCTTCTGAGAAAGAATGATTTTATGAGATTCACTATTACACATGAGCCCTCTCCCTCCACCACCACCCATCACAACAGTCACCCACCCACAGTTTCTACCACTCTGGTGGTCTCTTCTGGGTAACTAATGTGCTGTTGTGGCACGACGGTAGAATGGCTAAACCTCCAAGCTCTGGACTCAGAGTGAAAGGTCTGAACCTTGTGAGCCACACTAAATCTATATTTCCAGTGAGATTTGTAGTTTAAAATGTAACATTAGAAAAGAGGCTAAAAATCAATGATCAGATGCTTACTTCAATCTGAAGACATTAGAAACAAAAAGCTGAAGGAAAAACATAAAGAACAAAAGGTAATGAGGAAGAAAACAACACTGAGAGCATAAACAGTGCCAAAGATGGTCCTTCGAAAACATCATTAAAACTGACAAACTCCTGAACTTGGCAAATAACTAACATCAGAAAATACATGGAAGTCACCACATACTACAGACATTAAAGATCTCATGAACAGCTTTATATCAAAAATATGAAAATCAGATACAATAGAAAAGTGCCTAGAAAAAGAAAATACATACAAAAATCACATAAAATCATAGAAAATGTGAGTATAATAGTCCAATAAATACTAACATAATTTAATATGTACATTGAAACATTGTCATAAGGAAACTCCAGGCCCCTGTGGTTTTAAACTAATGCCTATCAAACTTTCAAGGAAGAAATAATCCTATTTTCCAGAGTACTGTTAAGGTGGGAAAGATTTCAAACCCCATTTCATGAAGTGGGCGTATCCTTGATTCCAAAATCTAAGAGCAGCATGACAAAAAAAAAGTAAAATGACAGGCAATGTCACTAGTGAAATAGATACAAAACTATGAAATAAATTGCTAGTAAAGCAAATGTAACATAAACTAGTTAAACACTGTGTGTATGTGTGTGTGTGTGTGTGTGTGGTGCACACTGATAATAAGATGAGTGTATTCCAGTAATATCAGGTTGGGTTAACATTTTTAAAGAAAGAAAAGGAAGGGAAGGAAGGATGAGAGGGAGGGAGGGACAAACACACATTTAGGTTAAGATACCCACATCTCATACCTGGTGTATCTGGGTTCAATTCCCAGTTCCAGCTCCTAACCACAGCTTATGGCTAAAGCAGACCCCAGGAAGCAGTGGTGATAGTTCAAGTAATTGCATTCTTGCTACCCAAGATTACATTTCCCAGCTCCCAACTTCAGCCCCAGCCCAGCCCTGGCTTTTGCAGGCATGTGGGAAGTGAACCAATGGTTAAGAGTCCCCTCCCTCCCTCCCTCTCTCTCTCTCTCTCTCACCCTCCCTTTTTCCCTCCCTCCGTCCCTCACAAATAAATAAAGTAAAATAGGGGTTGCCATTGTGGCCTAACAGGTTAACCCACTGCCTGCAACACCAGCACTCATATGGGTTCGAGTCCAGGTTGCTCCACTTCTGATCCAGCTCCCTGCTAATGTGCCAGGGAAAGCAGTAAAAAATGGTCCAAGTGTTTGGGCCCCTGCACCCACATGGGAGACCCAGATGAAGCTCCTGGCTTTGGCATGGCCCAGCCCTGGTCATTTTGACCATTTGGGGAGTAAACTAGTGGATGAACAATCTCTATCTCTCCTCTCCCTCTCTCTGTAACTCTGCCTTCAAATATATAAATCTTTTTAAAAAGTAAAATAGAAATTTTGTCACCACATTAACAGAATTAAAAAGTCATATAATCATCTGAGTAAGTATTTGATGAATTTAATACCATTTATGATTAAAAACTCATCAAACTTGGAACAGAAAGCTGCTTCCCTAGTCCGATTAAGGATATCTACAAAGAATTCTAGCCTATTCTGTGTATGCTAAATCTGAGTAGGATTCTCTTGATTAAAATACACCAAGTGGCAGGCTTTAAAGCAAACAAATTTGTATTATGTCACTGAAAAATAATTACTACTAGGGCCGGCGCTGTGGCGCAGTAGGTTAATCCTCCACCTGCAGCGCCAGCATCCCATATGGGTACCAGTTCTAGCCCTGGCTGCTCCTTTTTTTTTTTTTTGACAGGCAGAGTTAGACAGTGAGAGAGAGACAGAGACAAAGGTCTTCCTTTTCCGTAGGTCTTCTTTTTCCGTTGGTTCACCCCCCAAATGGCTGCTACGGCCAGCGCACTACACCAATTCAAAGCCAGGAGCCAGGTACTTCCTCCTGGTCTCCCATGCTGGTGCAGGGCCCAAGCACTTGGGCCATCCTCCACTGCCCTCCCAGGGCCACAGCAGAGAGCTGGACTGGAAGAGGAGCAACTGGGACAGAATCCAGGGTCCCAACCAGGACTAGAACCCCAGGGTGACGGCACTACAGGCAGAGGATTAGCCTAGTGAGCCGCGGTGCCAGCCCTGGCTGCTTCTCTTTCAATCCAGCTCTCTGCTATGGCCTGGGAAAGCAGTAGAAGATGGCCCAAGTGCTTGAGCCCCTGTACCTTCATGGGAGACCTGGAAGAAGCTCCTGGCTCCTGGTTTCAGATTGGCAAAGCTCCAGCCATTGTGGCCATTTGGAGAGTGAGCCAGCGGATGGAAGACCTTTCTCTCTGTCTCTCCTTCTTACTGCCTGTAACTCTACATCTCAAATAACTAAATAAATAAAATTACTACTATTTAATTCCTTTTAAGTTAAATTGAGAATGATCTTCATCTGGAAATTATTTCCTGAACACTTATACTGAGGTTTGTGTAACCAAAAAGAAAATGTCAGAGGGTTCTGGGGACCCATTTATGTACAGAATTTTCATCTAAGAAGTTTTTTATTTTAGCCAATGGAAATATCAGTGCATAGCTCTCATCTAGGAAATGACAAGTTAAAGGACATCTATAACCCCATCTCTGAACAGCTTGATATTTTTTGTACCCATTTCTCATCTGAATTTTCTTGTAAGCTCCTCTGTGGAAATGAATGAAGACCAACAAAGTGAGAGTCAGCCATCTTCAGTGGTGTTTTGGCAGAGACTCAAAGGCAGGCAGAGCACTTGGCAAGCTCCATTGTGGATAAAATGAAGGCTCCATGTGTGCAGGCTGCTGGCACTAACTAAAAGCGGGGCAGATGGGTTAGAGGCACACACTTGGCCTCCTCTGGTTGGTCCTCAATTGTAAACAGAGACAAAACACAGGGAAGCAGCAAGTGTTGCAGCTTAGCAGTTAAAACAGGAATGTCTCACTTCAGAGTGGGTAGGCTTGATACCCAGCTCCAGTTCCTGACTCTAGCTTCCTGCTACTGGGGACCCTGGGAGACAGCAGTGGTAGCTCAAGTGGCTTGGCGCCTGCCACCCTTACGGGAGATCTGGACTTTATTTCTAGCTCCTGAATTCAACCCCTGTCCAGCCCTGGCTGTTGTGGGCCCTGGGAGAGTGAACCAGCAGATGAGGGTACTCACTCGCTCACTTTATATATATGTGTGTGGGTGGGTGTGGGTGTGTGTAGGTGTCTGTGTGTGTGTGAGAGAGAGAGAGAGAGAGAGAATAAATAAAAAATAATTTAAATTTTGTATTTAAAAAAAAGGACAGCTTTCAGTTTTAATCAAATCCTGGCCATTTAGGGCTGACTGCTACAGAAGTCATCACTTCGGGGTTGTCGTGAGAGATAGCCATCTACTTCCTGCAAGCCTGCCATAGCAGGCTGGTATGCTAGGCTGATTGTTATGGATAAGGGGCAGCTTTCCTGGGCAGGTTTCTGCAGGCTGTAGGTCAGGGTGCTGTCTTTATTTATTATCAGCCATTCAGTCTCTCACCTTTCACAGCAAAAAGCAAAACAAATCATTCATGAAACCTACTAGCTGGCATAAGGAAAAGTTACATCTTTTGTACCTTAGCACACAACATGTAAGTATCATTCCTATATTTATTTATTTATTTATTTATTTATTTTTGACAGGCAGAATGGAGAGAGAGAGAGAGAGAGAGAGAAAGGTCTTCCTTTGCCGGTGGTTCACCCTCCAATGGCCGCCGCGGCTGGCGCGCTGCGGCCGGCACACCGCGCTGATCCGATGGCGGTCTCCCATGGGGTGCAGGGCCCAAGCACTTGGGCCATCCTCCACTGCACTCCCTGGCCACAGCAGAGAGCTGGCCTGGAAGAGGGGCAACTGGGACAGAATCTGGCGCCCCGACCAGGACTAGAACCCGGGGTGCTGGTGCCCCAAGGCGGAGGATTAGCCTAGTGAGCCACGGCGCCAACCATTCCTATATTTTTTAATCAACTGAATTCTCAGTCTATATAAATTAATTTCTTACTATGGAAGCTGGAAACATGTGGGGAAGGACCACTCACCAGAACTTCCAAGAAATGTGACTGTCACCCAAGGAAAAGCCAAACACTGCTCCTCTGATGTATAACTCTCTGAGGATGCCTCTGCCTTGCGTTTGACATGTGAGCCCTCATCAGTCATCACTGAGTATACAAAGCCTGTATGTGGTTCATACCATTGCCTACCAAAAATGATATGCAAGAAATGTGTTTCGGGGCCAGCACTGTGGCACAGCAGGTTAAGTCACCGTCTACAGTGTCGGCAGCCCATACGGATGCTGGTCCAAGTCCCAGCTGCTCCACTCCAACTAAATACACCTGAGAAAGCAGCAGAGAATGGTCTACGTTCTTGGACTCCTGAACCCACATGGGAGACCAGAAGAAGCTCCTGGCTTTTGGCTTTGGACTGGCCCAGCTCCAGACATTGCAGCCATTTGGGGAGTAAACCAGGAAGTGGAGGATCTCTCTCTCTCTCTCTGTATGTGTGTGTGCGTGTGTGTGTGTGTGTGTGTGTGTCCTCTCTCTCTCTCTCTCTCTCTCTGTAACTCTGACTTTCAAAGAACCAAATAAATCTTCAAGACAAACAAAAAAAGAAATGTGTTTCAAATGACTGAATTTGTTTATTGAATCCAGAATTCCTTAAGAACAGCTAGCATATCAGATAAGTAAATAGAAGTCATACTTGGGAATCTAATTTAGCATTAGGTCTCAAAGAAAAGACACTTCCCTTTTTTAGGAATTAAAACCCTGTGAACCTTACAGAGATGTCGTTTGGACTGGACTGGCCATAGACTGCACCCAATCCAGGCTTCCGCAGCCACAGACGAGGAAGCCAGGATGCAGTGGCTGTTATGTGGAATGTGCTCAAAATACAACCGGACAGTGAACGAGTGGGTGCTTAAAATAAGACTCCCAAGGTTTACACGCTGAACAGAAAAGGATTGATGGGTATGCAGGCTACCAGCGACAGATGAGCACACCCAAAAAGGTAAGCCCAGAAAGAATACAGTTGTAGCCAACATCTTGAGAGCAATCCAGAGTAGAAAACTGTATTGTCTCCAGAGAGAAAACTGAGGAAAAAAGCTTGAGAAAAGTATTAGCTATGTTGGGTTCTTCTTAATAAACAGTAACAATGGCCAAACCCCACCCCTGAAGCCCTCACAGTGGCCCAGGTCAAGTTCGGGGAACCTTCACCCCCTCTCTTCCCTAGGTTTTTTCCCGGGGCTCCCAGCCCCCCAAGGAGACCCACCTGCTCTACTTCCAGGGACTGAGTGACCCCTAGATCCTTCAGGCCTTCCTGAAACTCAAGGATGTCCAAGCTTCCATCGTTATCATAGTCCAGATACCAAAAGAGATCTCCATAGAGAGCATCCATCCAGAAGTCTCCGGAGGCAGGGGTGGTCCACGTTATGGCCCCCGTGAGTCCGCCCGGGGTGCAGGTGGGAGGGACGAAGGAGACCTCTGCCCACCACGGTGCACTGGCTGGAGACTTCAGACAACAGCCTCCAGGAGGCGCAAAGAGAAAGCACCTGTAGCAGTTAAAGCGCAGGGAGGAGAGGGCGCATCATATCATAACGGCTCCAGGGCGGAGGCGCGCGCGGGTGTGGGCAGGTGCGCCCGTGGGCCAGCGCTGGGGTCGCCGTGGGGCTCTGGGGCAAGCCGCCTCTGGTTCCCATCACTCTGGGACACGGATCAGATGCCCTGGTTCCCACTGCAGGAGGAGCTGAGAGGGGGATGACACACCATGGCTCCTCAGAAACCTCTGGACAGATGCCATCCATCACAGGGCTGTCTCACAGTAGAAATGAGTTTAAAGAAAAATAGGCTGGGGCGTGCTGGGACGGACACCGGCGCATCTGATGGTGGAGGTGTGCGGACTTTTTCTTAAAAACGTATTGGATGGCCGGCGCCGTGGCTCAATAGGCTAATCCTCCACCTTGCGGCGCCGGCACACCGGGTTCTAGTCCCGGTTGGGGCGCCGGATTCTGTCCCGGTTGCCCCTCTTCCAGGCCAGCTCTCTGCTATGGCCAGGGAGTGCAGTGGAGGATGGCCCAGGTGCTTGGGCCCTGCACCCCATGGGAGACCAGGAAAAGCACCTGGCTCCTGGCTCCTGCCATCGGATCAGCGCGGTGCGCCGGCTGCAGCGGCGGCCATTGGAGGGTGAACCAACGGCAAAGGAAGACCTTTCTCTCTCTGTCTCTCTCTCACTGTCCACTCTGCCTGTCCAAAAAAAAAAAAAAAAAAAACGTATTGGGTGGCGCCTGTCTAGGAATCCTTCCTCTACAGCTGAGGCCCGGAGAACTGCCGGTGCCAGGATTGGAAACCAAAGAACATCAGCCCGTGTGGACCTTTCCTGCTGTGACCCCCACACCCTCCTCCTCGCACTCCGGGTCTTCACTCAGCGTCTACACTCAGCGTTGTTCTAGCCTTAGTCTCTTGGCAGCACATTCAGGAGGCTAGTCCCAGAACAGGTACAGTGAAGCTTGCAGGGTCCCACAGAGCAGTCAGGAGGCCCTCAGGAGCCACGGACCCTGCAGCTTCTAAATACCCATGCTGCAGAAGCAGGGGGCCCCGGCTTTCCTAGACCTACTCGTCTATCTGGGGCCCCTCAGGGAAATGTGGAGGTGCAAAAATGCCCTCTTTTTATAATATTTTCCTAAATGCGGAGTGCTCTCTAAAACGTTAATTATTAAATTTCATGATGAAAATTTCCTTCAGCCACTATGTGCAAGTGCTGGCTGGACATGCATCAAACAGCACCAGGAACATAAAGAGGCTCACTGTGGCTCTGGCACCCTCCTTCCATAGGTCCCCTCCAGGAAGAAGCTACACCACTGCTGGGCTTAAGATGTAGGCTCTGCAATAAACCTTTTCCCCAGATCTGTTGAGCAGTGGCACACGTCCAAGGCTATCTCGCAGAATGGGCTGTGGCCCAATCAAGAAGGAATTCTCCCACATTTTTCCCCTGTGCATCACAGAGAATGCCAGTGGTGGCAGAGACCCAGAGACAGCCACCACAGCAGAGAATAAGCATCAGATTAGCAAGCATCTATGGAAACAAGTAGAAAAGAAAGAAGTCAAGGCCAGGTAACAAGGAACCAGACTGACAGCAGTTTACAAAACTGATGGGAGACAGCAAAACCACAGAGCTGATAGTCTCATCGAGCGAAAGGCGAGTATTTTTGTCAAGTGGCTCTTGTTACTTTGCAGATTATCCTGTTCGTTATTTGTAATTTTACAATTGAGGTTTCCAGGCATTAAATAACTTACCCCAAGGACACAAGTTTACCATGGGGTAAATTTTTTTTTCTTAATATTTCTTTTATTTATTTGAAAGGCTGAGTGACCCTTAGCACGACACCAAGAAGGAAAAGGTATTTTTCCACTGCAAAGGAATTCCTCCATTTCCTTCTTTCTTTTAGGAACTGTATTTCCACACCAGAATTTAGAATATAAATCAGGAGAAAACACACAAGATACTGATGTCATGTATTTTAGATCATTTGACATAAATGTAGCTGGAATTGCCCTGTTTTTCTTACACCATAATCTCCCTGCCGTAACACCCTACAATGCACACCTGTTACTTCCATACCATGTTTCCTTAGTGTCGTGCCAGAAATGGAAGTTTCTAATGACTGAAAAGAAATTCCATCCCATTCCAACATTTGCTAAGCTGCTATTTTTGTGTGTGACTTTATTCCATCTGTGGTTGTCAATACAAAACCTAGCCAGAGAACCAAGAGATTTCCGAGTCTAAGAGTTACAAGGGCTCTTCAGTCAGGTGACCCAGTCCAACCACTCCCCTGACACTGCCGCCTGATCTGTACTGAACGCATGGGACACAGGATCCTTAGAGTTCATGATCTAGTACCTGGGACAGCATATTCTTTTAAGGTTTATGTTTAATGAACGTTCACACCCAGTCATACATGAACTTGTTGAAAAAACTCTATCCAGGAGGCAAGGATGGTATTTGCATTTTATCATGTATTCTTTTGTTATTTATTTTCATTTTATTTGAAAGGCAAAGAGAGAGAGAGAGAAAATGAATGAATCTTCTATCTACTAGTTCACCAAATGCCTACAACATCCAGGGCTGGGCCAGGCCAGCCTGAAACTCCATTTGGCTCTCTTATATGGGTGGCAGGGTCCCAAATACTTGGAGCCATTATGTGCTGCTTCCAAGGGTACACATTAGCAGGAAGCAGGACTAGACACAAAAGAGGCAGAACTCAAACCAGGTACTCCAATACGGGATGCAGGCATACTAAGCAGCGTCTTAAACACTGCACCAAACACCCACTCCAATATTTGCATTTTTGAAATAAAAAAAAAATACAGGCCAAATGAAGCTCCAACTTGAAAGCTGCATGGTCATGTCACACCAAGTGCAGAACTCCTGGAGCACGCCACTTCCTGTCTTGCTCTTGCTCACGTTGTCTGAGTTCATTTGGACTGCTATACCAAAATACTACTGCCTGGCTTACCCAACAGTTCTGGAGGCTGGAGGTCCTAGATGAAGGTGCCTCTGGTGAGGGTGCACTCACTGGGTCATAAGCTGTAGACGTCTCACTGTGCCTTCACATGGCAGGAGACAAGTTCTCCTGGGTCCGTTTTGTGAGGGCACAAATTCATGAAGGCACAAATTCCCTCATGACCCAATTACCTACCAAAGGCCCCCACCTCCTAATACCATGACCTCAGGGTGAGCATCTCAAAATCTGACCAATCTGGGGTTGGGAGGAAGAGACCCCCAAATATGCAGCCCCTAACAGTGATCTTGTCAGCTTCGTGGGTCCCAAGCCTTCATCATTCTAAGTCTCCCCGAAGATTGTGTGCCTGTGAAAATATGGCAAACAGCTTTGTTTTTAAATTGCCTAGAATTTCCCAGCCTAACTGACTACATTTGTTAAATCAGCAGCAATGAACTTGGGTCCAGGAACACCCTCATATTCTCCAAAACTAGTCCTCCCTCTCCTCTGCAGGTTAATGAGAGGAGCTGCCAAAATAACACCAGGCTAGGGAAGGAAGAGAAAATCTCTGCAAAACCCTGCTGGTTGTGATCACATACTTTTCATTTTCCTGTCTCATTTCTAAATCCTGATTTCTGAGGCCAGGCGCTATAGTATTCTAATCGCCAAGCCTCAAATGAGCCAGCATAAATTCACTTCAAAAGGTTCATGGCAAATTGAATTAAAAGATAAATTTATTTGGATACAAAAAATATTTTTAAAACCATGCATATGAGGTCTTCCAAAAGTTCATGAAAACTGGATGGATTTCCAAAAACTTCTTGCACCAAAATAAACTTGTCTTTTAATTCCATTTTTTCACATACTTTTTCAAGTACCTCCACATGAGGAGGGAAAAAGCAGCAGCCTGGTTTACTAACTGGTCAGCTCGCTTTGTGAGTGTAAAAATCAGGCCGGTGCTGGGGCTCAATAGGCTAATCCTCCACCTGCAGCACCAGCACCCCAGGTTCTAGTCCCGGTTGCCCCTCTTCCAGCCCAGCTCTCTGCTGTGGCCCGGGAAGGCAGTGGAGGATGGCCCAAGTGCTTGAGCCCTGCACCCGCATGGGAGACCAGGAGAAGCACCTGGCTCCTGGCTTTGCATTGGCGCAGCGCACCGGCCCTAGTGGCCATTTTGGGGTGAACCAATGGAAGGAAGACTTTTCTCTCTCTCACTGTCTAACTCTGCCTGTCAAAAAAAAAAAAAGAGAGAGAGAGAGAGAGAGAGTAAAAATCAGACATCAGGGTAAATGGAGGTTAAGATGCCCACATCCCCCATCAGAGTACCTGGGGTGGACACCTGGCTCTGGCCCTGCTCCAGCTTCCTGCTCAAGTGGACCCTATGAGGCAGCACTGGTCACTCAAGTTATCAGGTTCCTGCCACCCACATGGGAAACCTGGACTGAGTTCACAGCACCCGGCTTCAGCCTGGCCTAGACCTGCTCCTTACGGGCAGCTGGGGAGTAATCCAATCGATGCACTCTCACTCTCTCTCTGACTCTCAAATATTAAAAAAAAAAAAAAAGACAGTAGTTGCATTATAGCAACATGTAGATATGACCCTGAAAAATAATAGAGAAGGAAAATCTTCCCAGTGGGAGGAATCACCCACTTTGTGTGGAAGGAGAAACGGCCAGAGATGAAAATATATACAGATTGCTGAGTAGTAGTGGCCAATGGCCTGGACAGTTCATAGTAAATAAAGGGTAAAAGTTGGCCTACAACCAAGACGTTCACTGGCCATATAACATACCACACATCCTAGTGCACCTGTGCTGCTGTAACAAAGCACCTGAGCGCAGATAATTTGTAAAGAAAAGAGGTTTATCTGGCTCTCAGTTCTGGAGGGTGGGAAGCCCAAGGGCCTGGCCCTGCCACCCGGCTCAGCAGCTGGTGAGGGCTTTCCTGCAGCAGCATCATATGGCCGGACAGGGCAAAGATGCTGGTGTGGTCTCTTTTTCCCTTCTCACTATGGAGGAACCACCTTCATGCTCTCATTTAATCCCAGTTCCCTTCCAACAGCCACACTTCCAGTTGGGGGACTAAGTTTCTAACACAAGAACTTTGGGGGGACACATTCAAGCCACAGCACCATACCATCCAGAGCAGCCAACCTCATAGCACACCAGAATGGCATACCCAACGCACAGGAGAGGCTGCAACTGGGAGACAGTGTCTGGCAAACAGGGCATTCTACTTTTCAGGATGTGACACTTGCACAAAATGAAAGGTCTCCCCGTGGTTCCAATAGGTGGCCCCAATTGAAGAATACATGCATCCAGTAATGAAGAGGTAGAAGCCGAGAACAGTGTCACTTACATCAATCCCAGTGACCCAGTAGGGGGCTTTCTGCTTCTTGTCCCCACAGCTGTTAGCTCTGCAGAGTTAGTTTCTGGTCTTTAAATAGGAAATAGTCTCACCAGGGAACACAGCAAGGGTTGCAATCAACTACAAGCTACAGTTGCCACCTGGCCATTTTGAACCCCTTGCTTCCAGAAACCAACAGGCAGGAAGAGAAGTTACCATCTTGGCAGGTGTAAACTGACCCTGATCAGCAGGAGGCAGGGTTGCTTTACAGGGTGCAGATGGAGAGAAACACTCATAGGTGTGGGATTCAAGCGCTCCAGGTGGACGCCTCCTGACACTGCCACACCCAGTGATCACTGTGAATGGGCACCTGCAGCGATGCTGGGAAGCTTACAGCCCTCAGGAATGAAGGCTTGGATCAGACCACAAAGACCTGCAGAGATTCTATACGGTGTGTTGAATTTTTAAATAGATAGAGTCAAAGGGTCCGGCATCGAGGCATAGCAGGTAAAGCCATCACCTTCAACACTGGCATCCCATGTGGGCGCCAGTTCATGTCCCAGCTGCTCCACTTCCCATCCGGTTCCCTGCTAATGTGTCTGGAGGTCCCTGCACCCACATGAGAGACCTGGAAGAAGCTCCTGGCTCCTGGCTTCAGCCTGGCCCAGGCTGCCATTGCAGCTATCTAGGGAGTGAACCAGTGGAGGGAAGATCTCTCTCTCTCTCTCTCTCTCTCTCTCTCCCTCCCTCTTCTCTAACTCTGACTTTCAAATAGATAAATAATTCTTAAAAAAAAAAAAAAGAAAGAAAGAAACATAAAAGACAGTCAAGGAGGAAACTCATGAACACAGCTGTGACTAACTGAAGCAATGGGGACAACAGTTTGTTCCACTGATCTCCCGCAGGAAGAGAGGCCAAGAAGCCTGAAGGAGTTGTTGCCCAACCTATGCAAAGGAGAAGGTCTTTAATATGAGGAGTGATGGGGTAGCCAGGGTGCTGTATGGTTCAGTGAGCCTTCCAGAAAACCTGCTAGAAAAGCAGAGTTGACTGACAGCCTACCCCTGCCACACCTTTAGACCTTTGACCCACCACAGAACTCAAGATAGATTCACACCTGCCCTGCGCTCCTCCAACCAGCGATGAGGCACACCCAGAGTATGTGCCCTAGGCAGCCAACATAGATTCCCCCCACAGATAACATCTCCTCAGTTCCTCCACATTAGCCTACTGGAGATTTTTTGTTTAAGATTTATTTATTTATTTGAAAGTCAGAATTATACAGAGAGAGAAGGAGAGGGAGAGAGAGAGAGAGAGGGAGAGAGAGAGAGAGAGAGTGTGTGTCTTCCATCCACTGGTTCACTCCACAAGTGGAAGTGGCTACAATGGCCGGAGCTGCACCAATCTGAAGCCGGAGCCAGGAGCTGCCTCTGGGTCTCCCACGTGGGTGCAGGGGCCCAAGGACCTAGGCTATCTTTTACTGCTTTCCCAGGCCCTAGCAGAGAGCTGGATCGGAAGTGGAGCAGCCAGGACTCAAACCAGTGTTCATATGGCATATCGGCACTGCAGGCGTTGCCACGGCACGGGCCCCTAGAGACTTTCTAAGGACAATGCTGTGGTCTAGAGTCTTCCTCCACTGGTCTTTCCCTCTCGCACTCTTTTCACAAGGGTTAAACTTGCACTGTGGTCTGAAGCCTGCCTGGGCTCACTGCTGTTCCCTCCACCTCATGCACCACAAGCACCGCCCAGTGCATGTTCTGCACACGTGATCCCACTAATATATGCTGGGAAGCAGCAGATGGTGGTTCAAGTGCTTAGGCCCCTGCCACTCACATGGGAGAGACCCAGGTGTAGTCATGGGCTCTTGGCTTCAGCCTGGACCAGCCCCAGCCAGTGCAACCATTTGGGGAGAGTGAATCACTGAATGGAAGATTTCTTTCTCTGTCTTTCCGACCTTTCTCTCTCTTCTCTCCTTCTCCCTCTCCCTCATCCTCTCTCTCTGCCTTTCAAATAAATAAATCTTAAAATTAAGTTTGGTGTTTTTTTCTTTAGATATTTTTAAATGGCCCTCTACCTTGTTAGGGCATTTCAAACAATGGCCTTAAATCTTTGCAGATGAGTAAAACATGGTCCTCATCCTCCAGGGGCTTATTCTTAGCAGAGGGTGAAATATTCAAATTAAAATAACACTGTGTGAAAATTGTAACAGTAGCAACACGTGATAATCTTCTTTGGAGGGCAATCCAGAAAGACTATCAGAGAGATGATATTTATTCAAAATAAAAATAACTCCCTTCTCGAATCATAAAAACAACATACACCCCTTTTTTCTCAATTGTAATATAAAAATTGTAAAGAAAAAATAGAGAAATAATCTAACTCCTATCATCCAGAGATAGTCATTATTAACCTTATTATCCTTTTATTAAAGAGTATACCAATCAAAAAGAATGCTAGAAATGGATAATAAGGTCTGGCATGAGCACTAGGAGCAATAATACATACAAACATCAAACATGCTTTAGGTGAGGTGGGCATTTGGCTCAGCTGTTATCACTTAATGTTTGAACGCCTGGCTCAAGTCTGGGCTACTCTGCTTCAGATCCAGCTGCCTGCTAATGAGCACCCTGGCAGCAGCAGATGATGGTTCAAGCACTTGGCTCCCTGCCAACCACATGGGCACTACAAACTGAATTCTGAGATCCTGGCTTCAGCCTGGCCCAGCTCCACCTGTTGCAGACATTTGAGAAGTGAACTAATAAATGGAAGATCTTTCTCTCTGTTTCTCTCTGCCTTTCAAATAAAATCAAAATAAATAATTTTTAAATTAAAATATATTCTATGTATATATACAAAATATATACATACCTATATTAAAGTGATAAATATATGCCAGACTGCTCTACGTATCTGCATACATAGTTTTACACAATTTATTTTATAACTTGTTTTTAAATAAATTTTGGAAAATTAAAAACTTATTCCTGCTTTTGAGTTCTGTTTTTCATAATCAATGTTGCATACAGACTTGTCCATTTTATTAGTATTTTCAAAAAGCATACAGTTGGAAATGTAAGAATACACTCTTAAATAATTCACAAGTCAAAGACAGAATCACATTGGAAATTCGAGAATACTAGAAAGTAAACAATACCACAAACTTGAAGCATGCAACTAAAGACACTAAAGAGATATTGAAGCTTAAGACGAATGAGTCATGAAGTTTAACTCAGAAAACTAGAAAAAGAATCATAACTAAGGCCAAAAAAGGAACGACAGAAACAGAAATTCGTGACAAATAATATCAGCAAAAGTTGGTTTCTCTCAGCATGAACAGGACAAGCCTTTGCCAGACGGAAGAGGAGGGGAAGGATGGACGTCAGGCATGAATTGGAGAACCTAGCTACAGATCAACAAAAAGCTTTACAAATTCATGACTATTTCAAGACTCTGGGACAAGATGAGCAATTTCAAAAAAATGTGACTGACAGTCTGACTCAGGAAGAACCAGAAGACTGAAGACGCCCACAGGACTAAAGACACTGCAAGGGTAGTTTCCGACAGCACAGCCCACAGCCGCTGGCCCTCGCTGGAACTGAGTCCTTCCCGCTGTGGACAAGCAATGCCTGCGACCGCTGGCGCTTTAACGGGATCGGCCAAGTTCCAAAGGCTCCATCCTTACCCCGCTACGGGGGCTCAACTTCAGGGGCGCAGTTAAGATGACTCCCGGAGGAGGTCGCTCAGCCACGGGTCAAGCCTGGGGATCAGCCGTGACACTTGGGCATTCCCTAACGCACGCCTTCAACCCAGGAATGTCGCCCTTCCTCCCTTCACAGGAAGCTGGGGAAGCCGAAGGCGGGTTTGCCAACAGGTCTGAAACAGTAACCTCTCGGCGGAGCAACAGAGCAGCGGGAAGAGATACAAAGTGAGGACCTTGTTAAAGATCCTGCATCCCACCCAAATCCCGAGCTCAGAAGTCAGCCGAAAGGCACAAAAGGCAGGTGGACAAGCCGGGGTGCACTCGGGAGCAGTGCTGGGGTCGGGTTTACAAACTTCACAGGGCTCGTGGGCGGGGTGTTCCCAGCACGCTCGCAACTGGAAAAACACCAGCAGCCTCCCGGACCCCTGGTAAGCACTCGAGCTCCCGGGGCCCCGGGATCGGAACCGAACTGCGCTCGAAAGCCGCAGTTCCGCCTCCCCGGAGCCGCCACCCTCCTCCGGCCCTCGAAGCCCCGGCTCGCGCGGCCCCCAGCCGCACCCACCTCCTCGGCGTCCTGGCCCAGGGGGATGCCTAAGCTCTTGAGCCCCTCTTGCAGCTCGCGAATGTCCACCACGCCGTCCCCGTTGCGGTCCAGCGCCTGGAACAGGGTCTCGTAGCGCGTCGGCGGCTCTGCTCCTTGGCAGGCCGCGGTGGGCAGCACGAAGCCCCTCAGCCAGCGCAGCATGGTCGCTGGGGGTGAGGAGCGGCCCAGCGAGGAAGGCAGCGGCGGCCGGGAGCTGAGGGGCGCGCCCAGGACCCGCGCCAGGCCTGGCTGGGAGGAGCCCGCGGCGGCCGGGGCGTTCGGGGCGTCGCCAGGGGCGCGGCTTGGGCTCCGAGGCGCGGCGGCGCCCGGCCGGCCGGCTCGGCGCGCGGGGAGTGGCGGCCCGGCTGCTGCTCCGGGAGGGGCTCGCCTGGCGGGGCTGGGCCTGCCTGGAGCCGGAGCCCGCGGGAACTGCGGGCGAGTGCCGCGGGGTGGCTCCCGGGAGAAGCGGCGCGGCCCAGGCCCTGGTGCGCCACGGGGCTGCGTAGGAGGAAGCCCCCAGGAAGGCGCGGGCCCCGGCGTCTCGGTGCTGATGGCTTTGCCGACGAAGCACTGGTGTGCGGTCAGGCTGACTCTGATGAAAGCACCCCTCCAGCCTGCAGCCTGGCCGGCTGCCCAGCTTGTCTTGTACAGATCTCTAAACTCTCAGGTGACTGCGGACACTACGCGCTTGTGGGCCTGTTCGGCACCCCCAGATATGAGGGGGTTTGGGGGTTTGAACACCTGAGGTGGGACTGACACTCGAAGAAGCCAAGGAGTGCCATAGGAATGCATCTGTTAGGACAAGGTAAAAATGGAACGGGGGTCTTCAGGGGCGTAGCCAGTTGGATGTGCCCATGCTCACATACTTGGGGTATCTGCCCGCAGCGCTCCTACGGAACCCTCCTGTCCCCAGCCAGGGGCTGCTCCCACGTTGGGGTTGAAGGCAGCAGCGAGTGAGGCAGCACTTAGCACAGCACAGACCAGACGGGACGCTGCACTTCACAGGGCGTGCCGGGGTCCCGCTCCTTCCCCTGCGGAAACCTGAAGTTGCGACGCGGCCTCAAAGGAAGACCGCACAGATGGCCGCCGCCGACAGCGTGGCGGTGATAACCCGCCCAGACATCCTTCAAAGTGATAGTTCTCGGTTCGGCCACTGAGGTTGTACCTTTGCACTCGCACCTCAGAGCCTCGCCCCATCTTCTGAATCACTCAGCAAAGACGCCCTGGCCCCAGCAAAAGCCAGGAAGCTGATCTACCATCCTCGTCAGTAAGCTGTCAACTTTTTTTTTTTTTTTTTTTTCCAGTTTAAGCATGTACGAATGTGGAGGTTGTATCTTGAAGACCGTCAGTTTAATAAATCGTCCTGAGACCAGTCTATCTGGTCTGTGTAACTGTCAGCTTCCGCTTATGTTCAGAATTATTTCCTTCCTTTGGAACAGCCTTCAAACCTCACTGCACTTCCTATCTGTCCTTTGAAACCTCTTTTACTCTACCGTGGTTCCCCTGTACTTGAGGCGTGGCTGCTTTGTGCGGTTTTTCTCTCTTCCTCCTCCTTTCCTTCCCCTTCCTTCTTCTCTTCTCTTCCTCCTTCTCCTCCTTTCTTATTCTCCTTCCCCTCCTCTTCCTACTCCTCCTCCTTCTCCTCTACCTACTTCATAACAATTAGAATTACCTATCAACATTTTTACCCAAAGACCTTTGTCTTCACACAAAAACTTTTACATGGTGTTTGTAGCAGTTTTATTTATAATTCCCAAACCCAGAAACAACCACAAGCTTCTTTGGTGGGTACACTGGAAAACAACCTGGGTTGCAGTCACATGATGAAAAAGTATTCACACAGTAGACATGCAACAGTGCAGGATATGTCATTCTAGAAAAGGCAAAACTACAAGGACAGAGAAGTAGTTTGGAGTCATGGGAAGCTGACTACAAAAGACTGTAAGGAAGGTTGATGGAGCTGCACTACAGCATCATGAAGGTGGTGGTTATACAAGTGCAGCTGTTCAAGGGGACTGCAAAGAGAAATGAACTTTAAAAATAAGCTTACTATGCTGCAAAATAAATGAAATCCACAGGGTTGCCATTGTGGTGTAGTGGATAAAGCTGCTGCCTGCAGTGCCAGCATCCCATATGGGCACCAGTTTGTATCCCAGCTGCTCCACTTCCCATCCAGCCCCCTGCTAATCACCTGGGAAAAGCAGCAGAAGATGGCCCAAGTCTTTGGGCCCCAGCACCCACATGAGAGACCTGGAAGAAGCTCCTGGCTCCTGGCTTCAGTCTGGCCCAATCACAGCCATTGTGGCCATCTGGGACGTGAACCAGTAGATGGAAGATCTCTCTGGTTCTCCCAGTCTTTCTCTGTAACTCTGACTTATAAAAAAATTAATAAATCTTAAAAAGAAAATTGAAATTCATGTGTATGAAGCAGCTTCAAAAAATTCATGGAAATGCATATGACAAAAAAAATGCATGGGTGGATTTCACATTTTTCATGCCATAATAAACTTCTCCTTCATTTCTATTTTCCATGGGCTTTTTGAAGAATCTCTGTGTTTGTCAAAAACTTACAGAACTATACACTGACAAGGGTTAATTTGACTCTGTTAAATATATCAATAAATCTGGCTGCAAAAGCTGGCTCAAACCTGTGTGAAATGGGGTAAGGATTCTTTGCTGAAAAGATCACTGTGGGAGCAGGTGTTTGGCCTGGAGCTCCTGCCTCTGATAAAGACTCCCACATCCCACATCAGGGTGCCTGAGTTTGCTACCAACCTCCAGCTGCTGAAGCCACCTTCCTGCTATGCAGACCCTTCTAGATGCAATGATGGATCAACTAGTTGAGTTGCTGCCACCCCTATGGGAGACCTGGATTAAGTGCCTGCTCCTGTCTTTGGCCTCCACCCTTCCCTGGCCATTGCAGGCATTTTTGGGGAATGAAGAGTTGAAGGGAGATCTCTTTTTTCCTAATTATTTTTTTTATTTAAAGATCCCTGAAAATCAGATAAAATACTCTATGAAGAGTATTTGTGGGCCACAGATCAGCAGGTTCAGCATCACTGGGAGCTAGTCAGAAAGATAGAACTCGGGTCCACCGGAGACCTACTAAATAAAAATTACACTTCAACAAGAGCCTTGTTGGGTGAGTATTTCATGCATTAAACTTGAGAAACACTGCTAATGTAAAGCAGCACCACCTCAGTGTGGTTTGTACACTGGGGCCACTCAGCAAGTTGTTATTTGTCTGCAACTAGATAAGTCAGAGAAGTTCTAGATTTAGAAATTTGTAGCATTTTGATAAAGTAATTTTATGTTTGTTGAGTCTAATAATGAATACTTGGGCTTTATCTTTTTTTGTTTGTTTGAAAGACAGTAGGGAGAGAGAGAGAGAGAGAGAGAGAGAGAGAGAGAGCTCTCATCTGCTGGTTCATTCCTTTAAATGTGTTCAATGGCCAGGCCCCAGCCAGGCTGAAGCCAGGAACTGGGAACTCAATCTATGTCTCCCTTGTGAGTGGTAGCGACTCAACTACTTAAACTATCACCTGCTGCCTCCCAGGATGCATTTGAGCAAAACACTGAAATAAGAAGTGAAGACAAGATTTGAACCCAGGCACTCTGATATGGGATGCAAGCGTCCCAATCAGCATCATAACCACTAGGTTAAGTGCCTGCCACAGCGCTTCCCTTTTTTATCTCAATTTTCTGGTAATTCATTTTTTTCTATATTTTACAAAAATATATCTGTGATGGGTCAAGAAATGACAAAGAGATAAAAGGTGTAATTTACACTAGCAATTTCCCACATAAGAAAACTGTATATAAACATTTAAAAATCTACAAGAGAAGGAATCCTTGCATCTTATAACCGGTAATTCTCAAAAAAACAGTAATTCCAACAGAGACCAGGAATGGAAACCATGAAAAACTAACACTTCTTTAACATAATTCATTTATGCAATCAGAACAAACACCTAGGATTCAGCCCAGTTCAGTTTTTCCCAACTTCCAACTTTCTCACGTGTTCTTATTTTCCACTTGAATAATCTTCACACTTTATCAGTCTCATAGATTCTGATCCACGATGACTTCTTTCAACAACTACTTTGGATCCCTCCCTCCCTCCCTCCCTCCCTTCCTTCCTTTTTTCCTTCCTCCCTTCAACACCAATTAAAAGCCTTTATGCAGACTTGGCTGAGCAAAACTACCCAGCCTCAGCTATTGTGGGCATTTGGGGAGTGAATCATCACATAGGAGATCATTCTCTGTCTCTTTCTGCCTTCTAAATAAATGTCTGAAGTGTAGACACACACACACACACAGAGAGAGAGAGAGAGAGAGAGAGAGAGAGAGAGAGAGAGAAAGAAACAATGAGAGGCCTCTTGCTGTCAAAAAAGTGAGTTACAGAGCCGGCGCCGTGGCTCAATAGGCTAATCCTCCACCTTGCGGCGCCGGCACACCGGGTTCTAGTCCCGGTTGGGGCGCCGGATTCTGTCCCGGTTGCCCCTCTTCCAGGCCAGCTCTCTGCTATGGCCAGGGAGTGCAGTGGAGGATGGCCCAGGTGCTTGGGCCCTGCACCCCATGGGAGACCAGGAAAAGCACCTGGCTCCTGGCTCCTGCCAGGATCAGCGCGGTGCGCGGGCTGCAGCGCGGCCATTGGAGGGTGAACCAGCGCCAAAGAAGACCTTTCTCTCTCTGTCTCTCTCTCTCACTGTCCACTCTGCTTGTGGAAGAAAAAAGAAACAAAAAAAAATATAGTGAGTTACAAATATGGAAAAGTTTAAGCTAGAATGATCCCTGAAGTATTGTATTGGAATTAGTGATATTGTCATAAGTTCATAGTTTTATAGTTATGTTTTCAGGTTGTGGAAATACAAAGGTGTGTGTGTGTGTGTGTGTACCCACATATGTTTCCAAGCTTTGTCCACTGACAGGATCTAGAATCAGTAATACCAGCAGTAAGCACATCCAGATTTTTCTTTCTAAATAACATTCTCAAGGCAGGTGTGTGTCACAACAGTTAAAATGCTGCTTGGGACGCCACATCCCATATTGAAGTGCCTGGGTTTGAGTCCCAGCTCTGCTTCCCAGTCCCAGCTCCAGCTTTCTGCTATTGTGCACCCTGGAGGCTGGAGATGGTGGTTCACATACTTAGGCCCCTGCCACCCATACAGGAGACCCAGAATGAGTTCCAGGCTCCTGGCTTCAGCCTGGCCCAGCACCAGCTATTGGGGCATTTGGGGGAGTGAACCAACAGATGGAAGATCTCTCTCTCTCTTTCTATATGTTTCTATTTCTGACTTTCATATAAATAAGTACAGTTTTAAAGTGTTCTTTCAATAGTTATATAAAATACCAGCTCCCAAGGGGAACCAGGGCAGGAATAGCAAAGGTACAAGATGAGCAGAGCCTATCTTCTTTCACCAGAGAGTGAGTACTCAGAGTATAGAGAGGGTCAAAAGGACACAGAGTCAGCTTGAAGGCATTGGCACTGGCCAAATCCAAGAAAATGTGGATATCACAATATGTGGTGTTAGCGTTTTATCTCTCGTTAAATGAAACAGGAACCCATCAGTCCACATGAATGTACATACAAATGGAATAAGAGAAACTTCTGTGCAGTAGACTGCCAACTAGTAAATATTGACAGAATTAGAATATTACCATTTGATGATCAATATGGCAGCAGTAATTTATTCAAGCAAGAAATATCAACAAAAGCTAATACCAGTGGCTGGCAGTTGGATCACAAACATGACATTTACCTCGCTTCAAAAACAAAACACCACACATTATGAATGATAAAGGAATAGTTTGCAGTGGAGAAACCTAGCATATATCACCTTCCTCAGATGCTCAAAGTACAAGTCATAAGCAATGGGACAAATGCAGATCAGGTGCCACCTGGTGGGATGAGGGAGAACAAAGGGTCATTTCCATGATTGGCCCAACAAAAAACACAGCCTGAATCTAATCAATAGGATGCTCTACAGAATCATCAGTCTGTAACCTTCAAATATGGAATAACAGTGAAGGTCAGGGGATGACGAAGGAACTGTTCTGGGTTGAAGGAAACTAAACAAATCACAAGTAAGCACAATGTGATCTCAAAGGATTATATTGGTTCAGTTGATGAAATGTGAAGGAATCTCTGGATGAAGGTATTTGGGCATTTTTTATAAACTGTGCCTGCAACTTCTTTGTAAATTAATTTTTAAGTGGAGAAAATTTTAACACCTTTAAAAAGCCCTTCCTAATATTCT